GTGACTGCAAGTAAAGGAAGTCCTGGAACAAGCTATGTGTAACCATTCATGTGAAAATGATCTGTGTATCACTAGTGTTGTTCTTAGAAATTTCCCATAATATATCATGCAAAAATAAATTTCATAATTAGCACAATTCACAAGTTATATGAGCCACAAATGTATCTAGTAGCTTTACTTCCAGTTTAGTGCAGGAGTAAACATGACCTTTATCTACTCAGGAATTGTCTGGTTTGTAGTATCAGCTGGGGGATCTTGATCAAATGATCATACTTTTCCTTTCTGTCTCTTGCACAGTGATTCCCTAGTGGTAGCAGATATGTGTGAGTGCTGGAACAATGTGATGGAAATAAAGTTTTAGTTCATAGTGCACATACTTTTTACCCTGTTTAACTGGAAAATCATGATTCCTGATGAATGACAATATACCTCCTTTATGCCAGTTCTGCTTTGCTGATCCCAAGTGGTGTGGAGGAAGCCTGTGTTTCAAATTCCAATTTGCTGCTACCCTGAAATACCATTATCTCCACATGAAATGGCAATATAATAATGTAGAAATGTAGAATGTAGGAATACAAATGTTCTCTGTGCAGGGAATGATATTCAGATGATTGAGTCCTATCTTGAACAGCCTTTCTTGCATATACTACTGCTGGGTCATAGAGTTTCAGTGCTGGAAAAGAACTTAAAGTTTGTCTATTTCTGACAATAATACTGAGATTAGTCCTAAAAATGCTATAAACAACCAGAATGGTCTGCCTGTCTGCACCAATAATATATCTCCATTATAATTTAATGAAGGTGACTCATATACCTTGGAATTTAAATTCCTAGTATAGCCTCTTTTAGTACTCATTGGTATTATCTAAGGCAATGTTTCTCAACCTTGACTACTTTAAGCTGCATGGACTTCAACTCCCAGAATTCCCCAGCCAGTCCACACAGCTTAAAGTTGCCAAGGTTGAGAAACACTGATCTAAGGCTTCAAAGATCTAAAGATCCTCTGTAATATTGTAGCAGGTAAGTCAATAATGGTATCTCTGTAGTATCAAAACAAATTAACCAGTAATGCAGGGATGGTCAACCTACAATTCCGAACTGCTTTTTGGTTCCCTTCCATCCTCCCATCATGCTGCTAAAATTCATATAAATGCATATGGATTGGGGAAATGCAAATGAGTTAGATTCACATTAAAATGCAAACCTTAAATACTTTTCTCCTTCCTTCAACTTATCCCCCCTGTTCCTTAACTTTGTTGTCTTGAACTTTTCATTCTTTAAATCAGTCCCTGTCTTTTCCTTTTTATGAGTTGGATTGAAAGACAATCATTGTCTGAAAACTATAGCAAATTAATGAAATCAATTTTTTTTCTATTCTCCTTATCTAAGACTTCCGGTATATCTATAATCTTCCAGGTAAAAAGAGAGTAGCATTTGAAAGAAGAAACAACCAGAATGAATTTAGCTTCATTTCCTAACTAAATCCTAAAACTACATTTACCACTAAGCAATAACAGCATCAGAAACCAGGCACAAATAGAGTCAACCAATAGTTCTATTTTCACCACCTGCTGATCAAGCTGATCTATTCATCATTTTTAAGTTTACAGTTCTCTCTATATTGATTTCTTCCTGCTAATGACTACTATGAAAAATCTATGGACAGCTTTGAATTAACATATTTCATGCCTAAGATAATAACTGAGGCTGAAATCCAGGGGAACCTCTGGAAGAAAAGTAATTTGAAGATCTAAACCATGACAAAGACCATGTTTAAGGTAGTGAAGGGGTTTGTCTGATGCATATCCCACCTTTTCTCTAGAACCTCAAAGCAGCTTACATGGAGATCTTCCTTTGTTTTATATCTATAGCAACCCTATAAAGTAAGATGGCCCAAGAGAAAGTGATTGACCTACAGACATCCAATAGGTTATGTCTCTCTAGTCCTAGTCCAACTTCTTAAGCAATACACCATACCAGCAATATGTATTAAATACAAGTATTCTGAGACTGAAAGGGTGGAACAAACTGAGCAGTGGGGAAAATGTTAATGGAGCTCCTGCTACTGCCTGGATACCTGGACCTGTTGGTCTCTCCTATATTCATGCAAATACAAATCACTTTTACATTTCAGTCAGGGATTTCCAGCTCATAGCTTAGGTAATGGTTCTGATTCAATGTGCTAGGTTTGGAGAGCAGTCATACAAGTCAAGATCTATAGAAGAAGAGGTGAAAAAAAAAGAAGAGAAAGATAGCATACAAATCCTTTCCCAGCTTACTTCCTTCTGAAATCTACAAATTGTTGGCATCAAATATAGTCCTGTTGACCAACCAGTTCAGTATCCAAGTCCTCAGATGATTCAGTATCCAAATCCTTAGAGTCTGAAGCTAGTAAAATCAACCCAAAATTCTCTCATTGGATCTCCTCCTAAAGCTTATCTTCAGGCTCTAAAGCTATGAGCAACTCATTGTTCTTCCCTGTTTGGTTTGTTTATTCAAGAAAACATGAATTATGCTTTTTGGGTAAAGGTGGGGGACCCATCATACATCCCAAGGCAAAATGCCTCTGGTGCATCTCAGAAATGAGGAACCAGGCTGGTACACTTCAGTAATTCCTGCCAGTAAACAGATTTTGAAAATATCATCTATAACATTGAACAGTAATCTAATAATGATAGAATGTAATTTAATATTCTGCCAGGGTTTTTTTTTTTCTTTTACAATTCCCCTTTGGTTTGCCTAGCCCAGGAAGCCTGTTTTGTAAATTGTATTGTTTATTTTATAAGTTGTTACATATTTATTTCATGTTGACTTTACACATTTAATGAGTTTGCCTTGGCTTTCCTTTAGAGATAGTGTAATTGGTTGGAGTATTAAAGAAAATATACTGCATGGGACCCATGAGAGAAAGCAACTGCCTTCTTCAGACAGCTAGAGAATAGGCAATGTGCAAAGAATCAAGCTGACACAACTGATAAAAGAATTTATTTGATGGAATAGCGGATATACATGTAGATAACTGGGAAATAGCAGATGTAGAGATGAGAGAGGGTTGGGGTAGTCCAGGGCTGACATGACAATTTCCTATTTTTCAACCATTTTTAAATGGGTGCTCTATTTTAAGTCTAAAAGGGGAAACACACATTTTGAGGAATAAGTTGCAACTGTTAATAATGAAAAGTCTGTTCCCCTTCTCCTCTGTATTATCTTGTTCAGCATATATTATGCTGTGAGCCACCCAGTCACTTAGATGAGATAGGCGGCCATACAAATTGAATAAATAATAAGAGTAATAGTAATAAGTCATTATGTTATTTCCCCAGCCCTTCCAATGGTATTGTGCCTGTGAATGAAGGCAGAACATGGGATATGTTGTGCTAGATTTTATAGACATTAAAGAATTTTATAGATGAAGTGAAGGGAAAACTCATCAGGGGGATGAGGTTTTAGCAGTTGCTCAGCTTTTTTTTTTTAAGGTATGCTTTCGTCATTATGGATTTTCTTCAAACATAATTATTGTTCTCTTCACTTAGAATTCCAGCACATGCTTGGAAATACTGGAAGCTATGAAGACAATGAATGTCATAGTCTTCAGGCACAGAACACAGCACCTTGCTAAATACATGGAATTAAGGAATGAATTCTCCTTTGAGTGGAGGTCTACTCCTCATGTCCATGTTACTTTCTGGGCAACTCTGTGAAAGTGATTTGCTTCTGCCTTTTTCTAGGATGTCTTTTTCAATCTTCCAGTCTAATCTATAACCCTGGGATTTCCTGGGGATCTCTCACAGAAGTATTAACCAGGTCCAGACCTGCTTAGCTTTATCTAGACCAACCAAGGTTAGCTACATCTTGTCATCTACTGTGGCCTAGAGGATCTAAATTGTGTCAATACCTAGATGGAACATTATTTCCCACCCAATGTACTTCATTATTTATTTATTTAAAATATGAAGTTTCTATTTATTATTGTAGGTATGTGAGAATGACCTTGGGAGAAGGGGGGAAGAGGTGCTGCCTAGGGAACGATCAGATAAGAGAGGGCATAGCCCACAACTGCATGACGGGCAGAGAAAGAAACTCCAAAGGGAACCTCCCTAACTTCTCAGGCTGTAAAAGAGACAGTGGGAGATTTGTACTTTCAGACTTGCAATATTCTGTTAAGATAGCCTTACAATAAAGTAGAATTAGCTCATCTGGTCGTGGTTCCTAACTGGGCTACTTGGGAAGGCTGACAAGTATTTATTAGAGCTCTCAAAGTATTTTACAATGATGTTATAAAATAATGTCAAGAAATAAAAGCAAGCCATTAAAGCTAGCAATGGGAGTTGGCAGCTCAGGAAATCCAATATAAAAACGTATGTTAAAGAACACCTAAATATACCACCATTAGGACTGATATGCTAGCAGAAAGGATATCATTGATAGAATAGATGCCACTTCAACTAACATTTGAGCCTGGGGCCTAGTGTAATGGAGTTGTTTAGGGCTTTGTCTAATAATACCTTGGACTTTGAACCTGGTTTAGTTGCAAACAGCCAACCAGTGCATACTGGTTTTAACACAGTTGTAGATATGACAGCCCAGTTAATAACCTAGCCATTGCATTCAGCATGAATTGTACCTTCTGAACCAGCATCAAGGGCAATTCCACATAGAGCACATGATAGACAGACAGAAACAGAAATGAAACACGTGATAGTGATCCAGTCCTGAGGTTATCACTGCATGAATTGTGGTCCCTAGTTCTTCCCTTACAGTTGGCACATCAGACTTAAACTGGAAATGTCCTCTTAAGTCTCATGAAAGAAGGTGTCCTGTAAATGAAACAGGTTTCTGGCTGGGATATTTTTCATATTTACCTATGCTGAAAATGATGCTGGAAAAACCCCACTCTTTCAAATAGGCTGTAAAATATACTGTTTCTGTTCATAGTTTTTTTTTTCCCCAAAAAACATTTGAAGCAAAATTGGATCATTTATTTTCTTTTGTTGTTTCAGGTCAAATATGGAAATTATGCCTTTGTTTGGGATGCAGCGGTTTTGGAATATGTTGCTCTGAATGATCCAGATTGTTCCTTCTATACTGTTGGAAATACTATTGCAGATCGAGGATATGGAATTGCTCTTCAACATGGAAGCCCCTACAGAGACGTCTTCTCACAAAGGTAATGTTGTTGGAAGAATATCAAAACTGTTCAAGATTTTTGTTTTGTTTTGTCAGTGCCAAAAATATATCACTTTATGCCTACAAGAGTTGGAACATAACGGAGATGTGGCGGTAAGGACAATAATGCTGAGGATGGTTTATATTGTGGTTCACAACCATAAAGCAGTTCAACATTGTTGCACTGATTTTGATTGGGGGAAATGGTGGGTATCATATCAATTTTTTGCTAGAATTAAAAAATGTTCAAATGTGTTCAGAAGACTAGAATGTGTAGTAAAGGAAGGGCCATTACAGTAGAGAATATAATGAGGTTGCATTAAAAAACAGGCAGGGTTTGATTACACCATTATGACTGTCATTCATGGCTTTTTGGACCATACCTCCAGATACCCAAGCTCTTAAGGACACTCAAATTCTTTGACCAGTGGTCCAGTTTAAGGCATACAGTTTTGTTGAGTTTTCTATGACATCCTTATCAAAATGACTATATCTCATGACGCTGCAAGGCATATGCCTCACTCTGCCTATAGTCTCTTTTAAAATTCACTCTAGGCTCCAGCTAGCATGCTTCTGTTACCAGGTGGGCAGATCCTTATAATTATCGGTCTCTTCTGAACAATGAACATTTAAATGTGATTCGGTTTTCATTAAATCAATATGGAGTCCATTTAGATCTTTTTGAAGAACTATTCTTCGTTTTCAAAACCTATAGTCAAATGGTCAATAGGCAACATATGAGGAACTTTAAAAAATAACCACCTAAAATATTTCAATCCAAAGTTTTCTGTAATGAAGCCAGATCGATTTTCCATTTTCTTCTACATAATTTGAAGTTAGACTTCTCTCTGATCTTCGTCAGGCAAAACAGAAACTTGCTTTTTGAAGCTGTTCGGTTTCAGCCTAATAGATTAGGCTAGATTTTTGTTCCATTTGTTATGCTGTCCTTCCTGGGAAATAGGAAGGACAAATTCCAAGTTGTATTTGGAATACAACTGTGGATAACAGTAGGATGAAATGTATCTCTTTTCTGCTATACCAAAGGTGGGGGATTTTTTCCACTGGGGTCTGCATTACCAAATATTTTGGTATTTTTTTAAAAACTCCGAGGGCCACAGGAGGTATGATGCACCACAGTAGGTAGGTCTAAAATACTTGGTTCATTTAGGCGGGAGCTTATTTTGGAGGGGAAAGAAGCTAAGAGTTTTGAAGGTGCCTTAGGGCTCTGCTAGAGTTAGAATGCCCATTTTGTTCCAGTCCCCCTTCCCCATTAATCTCCCCAGTAATGAGATTTGGTTCAACCCACTCTAAGAATGCTCCAGGGATTTCAGGAGTATGCTGGATTCTGGGGCTGTGAATTCTAGATTCTGTAGATCACATGACTTAGATTGACCATCTCTGCTTTGTGAAGTCACAAGAAAACTGATACTTTAAGCTCTATGTGCTTTCTGGCAAAGAGGAGGAAAACAGCTCTATCAAGGGTTGATTTCCTACAGGAAGTTGCAAAGAGATGCATATAGAAACAGGAGTGAATATAAGTTTCTATGGATAGAAAAAGCTTGACCATGTATTGGTATGATATCTGAATGGACAAAGAATCGTTTATTACTTATTTGCAATATGGAAAAAGAACAGTTGCATAAATTGAATTTACAAATCTTGTTTTACAATATATAGTTGATACTGTGCTGTTGAAATAGATAAACCTTACTGTTCTATCGCTGGAAGCCAATACACCTAGAACTTGGAGGGTAACCGTAAAGGTGGGGTCAAATCTGTTGCTAATTTTTGGCAGTAGCTATGAAAGCATGTAAGAGAACAATTTCTAATGGGCTTGGATGCAGGGTTGACCTATGCGATGAATACATTAGTAAAATTCTACAATACAGTGATATATATAACAGAAGCCTATAATCTTGAAAATAGTCACTTTAAAATAGAGGATATGGAATTAAAAAATTAATTATTATTATGTTATTTACATTTTTTAAGTTTACATCATAAATATTCTTATTGCTTTAATTGGCCCATTGTATGTATAGTTGTGCATCGCTCTTGTGTATACTGTTTTCGTATGGGTCTTGACTGCAGTAAGCAAACTACAGCAAGTTGGAGAGGTGAACAGGTACAAAAGCAGAAGAACAATTTCAAGCCATGACTTACCTGAACCTCTGGAAGTTCAAACCATAGCTTTACCTATCTTCATGGAGATGTAAACCATACTTTAAAATGAATTTTGCATTGTCTCATGCCTCTTTCTAAACTGCCCTTAGAAATATGCCTTAGCATAACTTCTGCAACAGCGGCTTCACCATGAGGTCTCATGCTAAGCAGCAACCGTTTTTGTCATTATTAAGACTGTGCTCTATGTTACAAATCAGTGTATAGCACAGAATGTGTCTTTATTTGTCCTGTTATTGTGCAAAATGGTTAGGTTTTCTCTCAGATGACTCTGTTAAACAAGGAAGTATTTTATGTGACTTTGTTAACATTATTTTCTAAAGAAGTGATTTAAAAAACAGCAAAAGGTATTTCTTACACTGCAGCTGAGCCATATTTATTAAGTGCATCACTTTCAGCCTCTTTAACAGCCCTTTGCTTTGTAATTTAGGGTGCTTTCATGTGATTTATACCCGCAAAAGTACATAGAAAGCAAGATAATATTCTTACTGATATTTTCCTTAATGGCATTCCCTCCTTTGCCTCATTTGATATCTTCTGTATTCATGAAATACGTATATGCTTTTTATATATTATCTAGTTTGGCCCTTTATTCCTCCTGTCTAGCTGAACTATATTTATTGAAGGAAAATGCAATGCCCTATTCTAGAGGTTTTTTTACTGTAATTCAGGCTGTATGTATTCGCAATTTTATCAGATCTAAATTTAGCCTTTTAGTGGCAAGTTCTCTATCCAAATGCACAAATATTGATCTGATTCCTAGAGGGTGAAAAATTAAAGAGAATTCTCATGGAATATATGGCACTTACTCCAGTGCAAGTATATGAATAAATAGCATCTTCAAAAGCATATTTTTATAGTCAAAGCACATGCAGTCATGGATTCTCTCTTCCTGTTCACTATTCATATTTTTTCCTGTAATTTAGACATGAATGCACTATTCATAAAATGTGTGTATATTCTTTCTATATATTTGGAAATCAGTGTAGGATGCAGATTTTTATCTGAAAAATTGGATTTGCATCCAGGTAGATTAGTGTAGTGGCTTAGTTAATAATGGGATGAATCTCTGGATGAGCAGATGTTTGAGAGAACTCTAGATCTGGAAGAGACTGAAGATGAGAGATATTAACATAATGAGAAAATAATTAGATGATCAGTATTGAAAACTGAGCCATAAGAGACCGGGGGCCATAGTTGCAGGAAGGGCCAGTAGGAATGTTACTGATTATAAAGTGGAAAGCAGTTTCTAGCAAGCAGATGCATCAATAGGAAGCATTCTTATGAGAGGGGTTTTTCATCACTCCCTTGGCACAGTTTTCCATGACTGCTCTCATGTGGGTTTTTCAAATCATCCTTTGCCTTTCTGATGAGGAAGCTGAATTACTGCTTCTGAATTCTAAGTAGCAGCAAAAATAAATTTTTGCTCAGTGGAATTAGCAAACATCCACATCAATATTTCAAATTCCTTCATGTGATGGGGGATCTGTTTAAAATGCATCAGTGATTCAGGCCTCCCCTCTTTCTTAAGATAGGAGGAGGAAAAACATGCTTTGTTTTATGAAATCCTGGGATTCTACAGCTATGTAACATTGGACCTCTCTACGTGACCATGACATAGGATCTTGAAGGATTGCAGAAAAAGCTTAGACTAAGAAAGGGATCTTTGTGTCTGACGTGGCTGAAAGAAGAGCTGTGAGTTGAGAGGATGAATCCAAAAGCCGAAGGTTAAATGACTGCTGAATTCAAGAAGGGTCAAGGTAGGGCAAGATCTAGATGGCGAGAATGTTCAAAAGCATTTTTTTTCACAATGGTCTTGGATAATTGACTGTTTCTGACAACACGTATGGCAAATTCCAAAAGTTTCCATATATTGCTTGTACAGATATACGTTTCCTGACAGAAGAGGCAAAATGACAGTACAATATTTTCTTCCCACTATTTTACGCATGCATTTTTTAATTCAGAAATCAATGAAAAACATTAGTTTTCCTTCTGTTTGGCTTTCAACATTTGACTGTTTGTGTACTCTACTTACAGAGCTTGGCAGAAATAAGACTGGGTGAGTGGGTATGGGATTGCAGTCTTAATTTTAATAGGATGGGATAACATTGGAGCTAAGATGCCATTTTACCCAGCATCATTATCTTAATTCAATTTGGGGATGTTTTTATGCTCATATAGTAACTCAGCTAAGGGGGTTATGGTCTCCCTTTTCCTCCAACGGGAAACTGCAGCATTTTTGGCTTGAAGATTACTTAAACTTCATTAGGCCATTCGTAAATTCCATTAAGATAATAGAAAGAGATGTGAAACTGGAGGTAATCATTAATAAAACAAATTACACAGGGGAAATACTTTGCTTGGACAAATTTTGAGGTGCATTTTACAAACCGTTGGCATTTCAGGGTAAGAAACACATTAAGCCTAATACAAATTAGCCTAACTGTTCGATTGGGGAAGAGAAGAGAAATGCCGGAAGGATTTTGTGACTCATTTGGAAAGTCTTAAAGAGATCAGAATAATTCACTGAGCTGGTGTTTGCCATTAACTTTTCTCTGAAGGGACTCCTTTGCATCTTCTGCCTCTGTGCACAGTTTAATGAATAACGCAGAAGCACATTCTGAGCATCTGTACATGCTTGCTTTTTGTATTACTTCAGGATCTTGATCTATAGCTAGCTTGGTAGCATACATAATTCCCACCAGAGAGCATTTTTCTTTCCCACTCTTACTCCTCCTTTCTCTAATGGACATGCCTCCTTTTCTTTCTCTTCTTCCCTCTTAATTGACTTACTATTTGAAAACAGTCTTCCTGTAC